GTTGGATTCCTTAAACATCTAATCAAGAGTTTGATTCTTGAAAGTATGCATAGAGAGGATCTCGTGATCAGCACTAAAATCTTTTTAAAAAGTCTACAATATAAGAGGATCGATCATTACTATAAACGTTAGATACCTTAGACTTAACCAAAAAAAAAATCAAAACAAACTTCTCAGCTAATTCCTACATACAAGAGTAGAAATAGTGCTTGTTAAAATTCGGTACAAATGGTTTAAAAAGTGAGATGGGGATAAAATAGGTGAAAAAGGGCAAATGGAGGTGACATTATTTAGGGACACTATTTAGGGACAGAAAACAAAAGGCAAGCATGTTGTCTATCATGCTAGTTGCTAATTTTGATGATACATCATCGCCAACTAGTGGCCTCTATTCACTCTAAATTCAATCAACATATGCATAACACCTACATGTGATAAGCCTCCCTTTCTGTCTCTCCAGCTTTACAGCCCCCACCCACAAAAGGGAAAGCCTCCTTAGCCCTTTCACATCCTCCTTCTTGGTTATATCTTCAAAACAACATGCCCACACTTTCATATCCTTTTCATTTTCTCTATTCATATAATATAATATAATATAATCCCACATGTTATTTATTTTTCCGACTAAGGGTGTGTTTGGATGAAACCAAACCGTGGTTTGAAAAAATGATTCTGGAGAATAGATTCTGAAAAGAATAGATTTTATGAAAAAGTGATTTTGAGAAGTGAGAGTGTTTGGATAGTTGTTATCAGAAGCACTTTTTATATATACAAATTACTAAAAAAAGACATAAGTTAATATGATAATTACAGAAAAAATAGATTTTATGATATATTTTAATTTGAAGGAATAAATTGTTAATAATATATTTTTTATTAACATAATTAATAATACATAAGATAATATAATTAATAATTAATTAATATGTATATATATTTATAAAATATAAGATTAAATATGTTTATAAAAAAATATGTTTATAAAAAAAATAACAAGATACATATCCTATAGGCTCTCCCACTCTCCTTCTTTTCTCCAAAAGCAAAAATTTTTTGCTTTTTCCAAAACCATGGTTTTCACCCAAAACCATGGTTTTGGTTTTTGGGTGGGTGTTTGGGTGGTTTGGATCCCCAAACCATGGTTTGGGGTGTCACCCAAACACACCCTAAGTTGCATATTGGTCCTAACAGCTTTTACTTATGAGCACCGGACATCCGGAAGTATTTTTAGGTTTAATATTACCTCGAAAATTTAAAATCACAGTAATTTTACCTTTGACTATTAAAAAATTAACGCTAACTTTTGAAATAGTAACATCGACCCTTGATTGTTAATATTTTATCAATAAGGAGTAAAATTGCTATAATTTAAACTTTCGGAGAATATTAAACCTAAATAAAATTGAGTGCCCAATGCTCTAGAATGAAAAATTTTGAAGTAAATTTGCACATTAACCTTTTTTTCACTATTAAATTTGATTTTTTTTTTTACCTCTTTTCCACAAATTTGAGTTTTTTGACCGGTTCTTTACTTTTTTGGCGTGAGTTTTCAATTTTTTGTTTTTGTTTAGATAAGATACTAGACTGATCCTTAGTTCAACTAGCTAAATTAGCGTACTTAATCTTAATGCTTAAAATACTAATTTTTTTTCAATGTAATTTTCTTTATTCATTACATTTAAACTCAATATTTTACTTTCAAGATATTGAATCATCTCGATAACCCAGCTACCACTACCCATTACTCATGCATTAATTTTCAAGGGATGGGATTTTTATGAATATTGATAGCTTTAAATAATGAAGCACCATTTTTGTATATTCCAAAAATATATGAAGAAGTTAAAATTTGCACAAAATATATTTCTCCATTAGATGAATTTTTATTTCACTTTTTTGCATAATCTCTAACTGAAAAATCCGAGAAAAAAAACAAAGAAATAAAAGAAATGAATAAGAAAACCTTTTACTTTTACGTCTCTTGTGGGGTGGGCAGACCAATGGGGGTCAAGTCATACCCCATGCTTTCACCCAAAAGAAGGAGCGTCACATCCCATATCCATGAGCTGCCATATGCTTTTGGAGGTATATTGATAACTAATAAAAAAGATGTAAAATAATTTAAAATTTAAAAATATCAGTATTATTGATTGCAATGCAAGGAAATATCAGACGATAGACTCATATGGGAAAGTCTCACTAGTCATCACCTATTACTTTTTTTTCAATTGTTTTCAATATAAAAAACTAGACATACATTTTTTGTAAGAAAAAAACTAACCATACTTATTTTATATAAACCTCACCAAAATTTTATATTTCATGTTAACTATTGATATTTGATAACTATGGTGTTAAAAGACTATTTTAAAAATTTATTTATATTTTTTATCATATTGTTATATTCATCATCAATAGAGTAATATATAAAATGTATATCAAATCACACTATTAATACCATGCGACTTATTTTCAATGACTATGCAATATATATAGGAAGAATTAAAAAAAATACATTTGAATTTTAAAATTACAAATGAGTCTTATTTACTATACTTTAATAGCAATTGAAACATTTGAAAAGTAAACAACACATTTTTGTAGTCATTTCGGATTCGAGATTTTAAAATTTCATATATATTTTTTGGGGGGAATTTTCCTCTATATATACATATTGAACAAATGTCTAATTTTATTTATGATGTATAGTTTTATTGTATTATTATATAAACATCGAGTAAGATATTCGTGATGCTAGTTTAGTACACTATTATTTAGGATATTTTGTGATGAAAAGCAACAGCATGATAAGAAGATTTTTATTGCTCAAACCTATCACAATGTCAACGTGCAAACACTGTTTTCAGTCTTATGTAGGGAACTGGCTAAACATCATAGTAACTAACCCTATTAGGACTGCAGCCACTTACGAAGTGCTTCACTTGGTTATGGAGGAGTGTTTAGATGAAACCAAATCATAGTTTGAATAATAGTTTCTGGAGAATAGATTTTGTAAAAAAATGATTCTAATAAAGTAAAAGTGTTTAGATAATTATTATCATAAACACTTTTTATATATACAAATTACTAAAAAAATGTATAAGTTAATATGATAATTACATAAAAGATAGATTTTATAACATATTTTAATTTGAAGGAATAAAATTGTTAATAATATTTTTTTTACCAACATAATTAATAATATATAAGATAATGTAATTAATAAATAATTAATATGTGTATATATATATTTATAAAATATAAGATTAAATATATTTATAAAAAAATAATTGATAGATATTAAAGTCATATTATCATTAAAATCTACTCTGACAGGCACCCTGACACTCTCCAATTTGAGCCCAAACCATGGTTTCTCCAAAATTATCCCTGTTTAGCAGTCTCTTTCCCTAAACAAGCCCGAAGTTATCTTTCTCAGTGTCATGATTATCTTGGGAATTGAACTTGATCTTTTCGAGTTTGTTATAAAGGAAAATGAAAAGAAGGGAGAAAAAGAAAAATTTTAATAAGCTCAATTTAAAAGATTAAAAAAATAGAATAAAAGTTTTTAATTAATTTTTATTATTCTTTTATATTATTTTTTTTATTAAAATTTCAAAACCCCACTTCTCTAACTTTTTAAATAAACCTTATTAAAATTTTCTTTTTCCTCCCCTCCCCTCTATTTTTCTTATACCAAACAGAAATTTAATAAATTTGTTCAACTCTTTAACCCCTGAACCCATGAAGGGGGTAATTGCCAAAGAATTCCAGTGTAAAATAGTCTCATAACAGAAATGATACTGCTTGTGATTCCTAATATTGAATCTAATTAGAAAAGTTAGATGTTATCCTAAATATAATATCTCTCAATTTATTTTATGCATCATATTTATTATTTTTCCCTAAATTAACTCATCTAAATTATAAAATTATATATAACTTTTTTATGTTGTTATTTAACTGGGTCAGATTCCAAAATTGTAAGCATTAATATATAATCAAATATCATATAAGAGTACTTTAGCAAGATTATGTTACATTAATTTGTTCTAATTAAATAATTTATTTGATTTTTAAAATCTATTTAAATTAGTTATATCTTGTATCAAGCATTATACTTTTTAATAGAGCACCAAAATATATGTTGTGAAATGTGCAATAGTTGGTTTAGGTAGTTATACTCTTATTCCTCTCAAACAATGTCTCAAATTCATGTTTTGTGAATAAAGAAAAACTATATATCATATGAAAAGTTGTAGGTAAAAGCACACATTTAGTCTTCTAATTTTATAAACAAATTTTGTTTGATTTATTAATTTATCAAATATCTTTTTAATCTTTTAATGTTGACATTGTTAATCTTAAACAATAATTTTTATTATAATCATTATTATTTTTTAGAAAAATTAAACTTATTATACTAAAATTATTAATATTTTGTTAATATTCAAAATTTCATGAAACTAGCAATGGTAAAATATTAAGATTTAAAAAAGGGTAATTTATAAAGTTAACGAAACTAGCAATGCTAAAATATCGAGATTAAAAAAAAGTAATTTATAAAATTAACAGCACAAAACAAAATTATATATGAAGTTAAAAATGATCATATCTATTTTTATGTTTGAAAATAATATTATTCAATTGCCTTAGGTTTGAAAATACTCAACATCCTGATATTTTTCTGCTTCAAATGTTGGGTGTGCATTGTGACTGCTTTTAGACCAATTGACTCTGTTCTTGATCTTTTGCTTAATAATGGTATCTTGACATATTCTTATCAAATCGTTTTATTATTATAGTAAATATTTCTTCCAATCCTAAATGTAAAATTTATTTTGTAATTCAATTTATATTATAAAATGAGTTTTATATTTATGAATGATGAAATAGTTTAAATCAACTCGATTGAATCAATTATAAATTAGTGACTTTCAAAAGTTAGAAAATATTCACTAAAGTGGAACAATAACCCTTGTTTTGGTCTGGTATAATGCTTACATGCTTACTGCAGATATAATAGCATGGAATATAACGTAATATATTTAAATGTATTTGCAATAAAAATTTAATTCTTAATATGAAACCACACCAACAGTAACACCACAAGCTGTAAATGCTTCTTATTGCCCTTATCTTTCTCAACACACCCGCCTTGTGCCGCCCATACCCATATCTCCAATCATTTTCACTGTCATCCTCCACCCAATTCCATATCCCCAAATTTGCCCTCCCTATTTTCAAATATTCCCGGCTTATCCCTAATTCTATTCCCTCTTCTACCCTCCTCAAATCACCATATTCCCAACTCGTCCCTTCTTCTTCTTCGCGTTCCCTACCACTACCAGTAACTGTTGAAGCAACATTGCCTGCTACTGTTGGTTCTGTGTCGGACACCAATGCCCTCACCTCCAACCAATCATCTTCGGATTCCCAATTTGCCCTTGAGTTTGAAGCTAATTTACCGATTCTCTCATTCGCTGAGTCTTCGTTTTTTATTCTGATTTCTTCTTCGTCTTCTTCCTTGAAATCGTTTGAGTTCATCCAATCGAGGATGCACCGAGGAGACGACTCTGAGAGATTACTGGGAGGAGTAGGAAGCAGATATGGATGCTGCAGCAGCTGATCACAGCTCCACCGCTCGCTTGGTTCTCTCCTCAGGCACCTGCCGAGGAAGTCGCGTCCCAGTTCTGACAATTGACTCGGAAACTCCGGCAACTCGTCGGAGTATCCGATTCGATTGAGCGTGTTAAAGCCGTCGTCTTCCCAGCCCGGCTTCCCTGTGAGCATCTCGATCACCGTGCATCCTAAGGACCACACGTCGGATTCCGGTCCCTGAGACTCCCGCCGAATCACCTCTGGAGCCATCCACAGCGGGCTTCCACGTGGCAATACCCCCACCGCCACCGCACCGGAAGAACACTGCTCCACCGCCGAGCCGAAGTCGGCGAGCTTGGCCACGCCGCCATTGTGCCCGACCAGAACGTTCCTCCCTTTAACGTCACAGTGGACGACGCCCTTAGCGTGGACGTACCTCAGCGCGTTCACCACACACCAGGTGAAGTACCGCACCACGCGCTCGTCCACGTCAGCACATCTATCTCCATGATTCTTCTTCGGAGACGCTAGGTCAGCGAGGGTGCCACCTGGCAGGTACTCCAAATACAAGTTCCGATACGACGTCGTAGCGTCGTCGCCGAAGAAGCTCACCACGTACGGCGACGACATGCTCCGCAGGATCCGAATCTCGTTCTCCAAGGCCGCCACCTGACCCGACTGAGGATCCACTGACTTCACCGCAAAAACCCGACCGTCGGCTTTACTCACTCCCATAGTCACAGTACCAAACGAGCCCATACCTAAACACCGACCTCGAACCCAAGAAGCCATTAAAGAATCAGAGTCGCGTTGAGAGCTCATCTTCACCATCTTTTCTGAGTTTTACTGCTTAATGAGTTTGAAGAGGGCCCAAATGGGGCTATATATATGAAAAAGGGCGCGTGTTTGGCATATAACGTTTCGGTGGTTTGCCTTTTTTATTTTTATTTTTTTAAAAAAATATTTGGAGTGTGACGTGGAATTTAATTTTTGAGGAAGTGGATAATTAAGAAAAGCGGTGGTGAGAGGGGTGACGTTGAGGTGGCGAACCGGAGGTGTGGGGGGCAATCTGCCACAAGTGGTGGTGTGCTGGAAATGCTTTTGACGTAAAATTAATAGCCATTGTCTCTTTTTAATGCTTATCCATTCACCAATTTTTTCTTCCTTCAATCTGTTTTCCCCTTATAAATTACCCCCCAAAAAAAATCATTTTATGAAACATGGGCATCAGGGTTCAAAAGGGGAAAAAAAGCATTATCTGAAATTAATAAAAGAAAATCAGGAAAAAAAAATCAATATAACATATTCAGTGATGACAAATAAATAAGAGATTGCAGGAAAGAAATTAAAAGGATGTTGTGCTTCTTGAGTAAGCAAGCATATGGCAGTAGTCGCATCTTGTAAACGGTGGGTTTTAACTTAATTTTTCCCCTTTTACCACAAGGATTGAATAAGCATAGTAATAATTTTATTACTACCTCTCGTTCTTAATATAAAACTTTATTTAATTTTTATTTTAATTTTAATTATAAAACCCCAATCCATTTTTTTTATATTTATGTATTTTTTTCAAAATAGTTTTTTTAATAATAATAGTTCTAGCCAATAAATTTAATTAGCAAAGATATTTTAAGAAAGACAACACATATTTATTACAAATAATTAATTTAACTTATTTTCTTAATCTTTTCAAATTAATTAACTGATTCTTATAATTAGAATAGTAAATAATATTATCATTATTATTGACGCGGTTCCTCTTTTTTGGGTGAAGAGGTTACTAGCATGAAAGTAGTGGGAGGTTATATGCCACGTGGCTGAAAATGGTTGGGCCACGTTGATGCTTCGAGAATTGATGAGCAAATTATAAGACGGTCTAGGTTTCATATCGTATCATTATCTCTGGCAAAAATGTGTGTCTGTGTATCATTATATTTTACATTTTATTTAATAAAATATTTTACTTAAAAAAAGTGAGTTAAATTTATTTACCAATAAATTCTTGCAAAATTACTTAAATTAATTTGCATTTGCATATTTAGTATGTTATTATGTAAGTTTGTCTATTTTTTCCCCCCCTAATGATACCTGTTTCATATAACTTTTTCATATGATTAAAAGAATTTTAAAAAAAATGAAATTACACCCCCTTGACGTGCGTGGCTAGCTTCCCCCAGATATTAAATTGATATTATTGGCAAAAGAAAGGAAGATATTAAATTGATGTTATCTTCATTACTATTGTTATATCTTTTGGTAATTTTCAATAAAGTTTGGTGTTCATGTGAACTAGTATTGATTTGGTCCCCAAAATTCAGTTAATTATACTCAATCTCATCTTAACTATGTTAACTATAAAAACTAGATAACTACCTACTTTAAATACTACTTTCAGTTCATAATAAAAACTAGTTAAAAATTTACTTTGGTTTTAAATATAAAATTTTAATTTATTTTGTCTCTTTTAGTTATTCATTTTTTCTCCTAAAATAGTACTCGTGGTAATTGCTCGTATTAAAGAGTTTCCATCAAATGGTAATTTTAATACAAATAATTAATAAAAATATTTTAATGAAGAAAACACATATTTATTACAAATAATTAATTTAACTAATTTTTTTTAATATTTTCAAATCAGTTATCTAACTCTTATATTAAGAACTAGAAGGAATATTAAAAAATTAGTTATTTATAAAAAAAATACCACATTTTGTTTTTAATATAAGATGTAGATAACTAATTTGTGAAAACCATTATTAATTATGTACATTAGAATGAAAATATTTTAATATGTGCAATCATGGTGTAGATTACTCTTAAAAAAAAATAAATAAATAAAAAGACATAGTTGATTGAGATTTTATATTTAAGACCAAATTAAATTTCTAATTAGTTTTTATATGTAGGACTGAGAGTAGTAAATACTTGTTTTCTTAGAGCATTCTTTTTAATAATTTACACTAGAAACTACTCTTTCAATAATAAAAAATTCTCTTAATATGTGTAGTTAATAGAGTAAATTTAGCAAACAAATCAAGTTGATTGAGATTTTATATTTATAATAAAAATAAAAGTATGTATTAACTTTTATACTTATCCTAAATAGTACATTTTAGGAAATGAGGCATGGTTGTGAGATTTTACGTAAAATATGTTTGGGTATAATTTGAAGGGTTTGGCGCTTGATTTTTATTATTCCTCCTGCTTAGGATGATAATATACTTCAGACAATTTTGGATAAGATTTTAGTTCCAGATATTGCTTTGCCTAATTTTACCGACATTAAAAAGAGTAAATAAAAATAATAATCAAATCAAATCAATTATTATAACCCACGTTTAAATCGGTGAGATGTTTCACCCAAAACGGCACAGCACAGCATTTAATTAATTAATTAATTAATTTAACGCCAGAAAAAAAAAGAATGTATAATTAACTATGCTTTGAGGAACTCGTTTTGAAATTAAATTACGGTCATGCGAGACAAACATGCCAAATTATTGTTTTTTAAAAGAGGAATATTAAATAATTAATATATACTCCTCCGGTTATACATATTTCACACAGATTAAAAAAAATCTTAAATTTTATTAATTCTTATTTAAAATTTAACAAGTTTTTAATTTTAATTTTAATTAAATATACATTACATCTCGTGTAAACAAAATCAACGCAATAATAAATAAAAGATAAAATTACATATCTGTACAAAAAATTTCTCTCAATATCCTGTAAATAAAATTAAAAAATATATTTTTTCTGTCTTATAAATAGACCAAGGTATTTTATAAAAGTTTTATTATAGCTAAGTTTCGTACACGCGAGCGGGCTCAGAAGATCACGGAAGTGCGTCTAGAAGTATCATGGTAGCGCCACGTGGCGGCATGAGAATGAGTAGAGAAATGGATATAGCGTTACGAAAATGGAAAGGGAAAAGAAGAGAATGCTTGTCCACTAGCATGACTCTTGGCCATTAAAATCGCTTATAAAGAGAATATAATACTCTCACCTTTTCATTGTGAAAGTGAAAACTTAATTATTGGCTGAAAAAGGACTTTGATTGCTCAAAGACAACATTTTAGTTTAAAATTTTTATGAATAAAATACATGTATGAGAAGTATTTCTATTTTCGTTAATTAAATGACAATGCTCAAAACTTACTATTATGGTCTACTTCTTCTGATATTTAATATAAAAGTTAATTGACTAATTTAAGTAAATTAAGAAAGTTTGTTAAGTTAGTTATTTGTAATAACTACGTGTTATTTTTTCTAGAATACTCTTGCTAATCAAGGGTATTAGCTAGAACTATAACTTTTAATATATGCAACTACTATAAGGATTATTTTTAAAAAATAGATAAATATGAGAGATAAAATGAATTAGTGTCTAATATTTAGAACCAAATTAAATACCAAATTAGTTTTTATATTAAGTATTAGAGGTAGTATGAGCCAAGGGGACCTGGAGAGTTAACTCAGATGAAAAACATGAGTCAGACATGCTTGTGACCATAATAATAAAATAATATTTTCTTTAATTTTAAATGTACACGTTAGATAATTAATTGGGAGAATGTCATTTAATCCCATAATGCGGACCTAATTTACAATAAGTCTCAAGATATTCTGAAATTTGTTTTCAGTCCCTCTGCCCCTAAATGAAAATAAGTTTGAAAGCTAAATGTTAATAATAACAACAGAAAATGCAAAAATTTATAATAAATTAGAAATTTCTCCCCCTGCGATGCACAGGGTAATGTGTAACTACATATGATTGTATTCTTCGTCACTTCCTATTGAAACAAGCAGGATATGTTTTCCTAAAAAATTCATATTTTTCTGTGTATTTTTAAAAATATAACATTTCTTTTATAAAATAAAATAATTAAAAAAAGGCATTTACATATGGATTGTATTCATGGCCCTCTTATTCCAAGAAATTCTCATCTCTCCCCACCGCAAAATATTCTTCTTTTACTGAGTATTTTTTAAAATATAACTTTTAATATAAAATAAAATAAAAATAAGGCACATATATGTGGAGAGATAGCATATAGGCATACAAATTTAGATTATTCCGCCATAAAAATCTTAGATGTGTATAAAATTGAGTGGATTGAATTACTATTAATAACTCACTAAAATTACTACCACTTCTCATAAAAAAAAATTCCCGATACTCCTAAATAAAAACTTGAAAAATAAATTTGCACCTTAACATTTTTTTTATTAACAATGAAAAAGCAGAATAAATTTTAATTGGACAAGAGATGTATTTTCATGAAGATGGGGCTTACAATTTGTGTTCCATGGAGATATGATGTTATTTGCTTAATCAATTAACAATACAAATAGCCTTGTATTCTAGTAATATGTCAGCTTATTTTATAAGTGTGAGGTTATGAATTCAATTCATGAGGCCGTTACTTAATATCAACCCCTCAAATTGAAAATAATAAATAAATAAGTGCCACATGACGAGGGTTCCATATAAATATTGAAAGACATGGTTGCCACGTGTTGTGCAAGAAGAATAATATTGACGACCAGGCTTGGCAGAAAGGAATACAGTATAGTCCCAAGGAATGTACTATTCATCCCCATAAATTAATTTATTAGTTCAAAATTAAATATAATAATCCCTTATTCTCTAATTTAATCAAAGTGCCTAATCGTGACTCAATATGTGGCTGAAGTTTCTCCCCCACCCCACCCTACCCTACCCTCAGCATATAGAAAAGAAGAGAATAAGAATAAAAGGAAAAAAGTTCATTATTTTTTTAAAAAAAGGGGTTAAGGGTAGATTTAACTATTATTTTTGTATTTTTTAAATATTTCAGACACCAAAGAACTAGACATTATTAGTTGATAATTCAAAGATGTCATCAATTGATGAATCAATAAATTCAATTACGCCCAAATTCCACCGCCGTGTTTGTGAAGTTAGTATGATGTGTCAATGGAAGTGAGGCTGGGACCCCTTCAAATTGGAGAGTTGCTGGGGACATTATTTGACTTTAACGATGGTAAGTTTTTTTTTTTAAAAAAAAAAACAATAGGTATCCTCCTATTAAAGGTAATCCTATTTGAGGCATTATCGAGCACTAAATGTAAGCATCTCTTCCAGCAGGAATTCGAACCTTGGTTCATCACGTTGTGGGAGACTAACCCCTTCTACTAGGCCCAACCCCTGTTGTCATCATTCAAACCATTGTGTTATCATTACTTGTAGTTGTAGGGTATTTACTCACGATTTTTTAAATTTTACATTTATTTAATTATTATTGAATAAAAGGAAGAGGAGAGAGGTGAAAATAATTTATAAATGTAGAGAAAAGAAACCTTTAATAAAGATAAATTTTAAAAAATTTCTTCAATTTAATACATTTCTTATTATATGATGATAAATTACAAGTGACTTATAACAAAATTCAGAATGATAAATGAGTTTGATAATGCATTACCCAACACTATATAAGGAAAAAAAATCATTTTCTAAAGGAAAAAAAAAATCTCTTTTTGGCACAGCATATTATTATTGGTTATAGTAAGGAAAATTCTCCTTAGTAAGGGCAAAAAGGACGCTAGGTATTTTTTAGAGAGAATTATAACCGTTTCCTTAAAAAAAGAATTACAAAACAAGTCTAGACATTGTTATTTCTTACTACTTCTCATTACAAACTACTTATATTGTTATCGGAGCTTTTTAATTATTATTTTTTTCTCTTAAGATCTCATTATAATTCTCTTTATTTTTTTATCTTGGGTAAGATTGAAGTATGGATAAGATGCATCTTGAAATTCATCAAGATTGCCAATGAAAACCCCCCTAATGAAAGGTCTTAAATTTAATCCTACTTGTAACTTCTAGTGGTTAATACTTGCCCCTCTAATTCAAATATCATCAAAGATTACCAACATATATACCATAGAGAGAAACAGAATTCTTATATTGGGCGCAAAATTGAAGCCCATACTTTCATAGAATATGGATCAGATCCTTACCAAATTGTAATAAGATGGTTTTAAAAGCCCAATTACAAGGCCGAACTCAGAATGTCAGTCAAAATCCTTTTGCTTCACTTCATGAGCAATGTAAAAGCAAAAGGGCATCATGATACTATATAGCTTACAACCTACAAAATTGCAATGTTCTGAACTCCAGGTTATATACAAGACCTTGCTCAGAAAAGTATTTGGATCATCTAAATTTAGTTTTCTTGTATTTTAAGGAATCCAAATTCATTTAGAAAGAACTGAACTGATTACTAATCAACAATCCTTTCAAACATCATCTTCCCTTCGTCCAAGATTGACAAGTGCTTCCTTTTCTTGGATAGCTTTTGAAATCCATTTTGCTCATCACCAAATTGTGCGGCTGTTCGAGCCCGTAGTTCCTCCAAACTCTCGCCTTCCTTTGCTCTCTCTAACACCTGTAAGTTACACAGCAACGGTAAGTTGAATTCTCAGCTATATCAAATGGTTCTCAAATGCAGAGATCTAGACTCACGTGGGAATTAAGGGCTTCTTAGGGGAATTACCAGAGGAACAAGGGGTAGTTAGAGGGAATTTGCTATGAAACCCACTCAGCCTCTGTTAGTATAAATAGGGAAAGGATTGGCACGTAATGGAGTGAATCAGTACTTTGTCTATTTTATTTCATGGGCTTTTGTCACGCATCACCTTTAAACCGCAGAAATTACTAGAGGAATATGGGGTAGTTAGGGAATTTGCTATGAAACCCACTCAGCCTCTGTTAGTATAAATAGGGAAAGGATGGACATGTAATGGAGTGAATCAGTACTTTGTCTATCTTATTTTCTGGGCTTTTGCCATGCATCATCTTTGAATTACAGAAATTTGGTAGAAGGGGAGTAACTATGAAGCACCATCACATTTCAAGAAGCTATATCACATCCAACAACGGAACTGACTCGACATAATTCTTATATTATATTTAGACCCTGCACAAATCACTTATTGTCACAGCATCTGTATTGTGACGAATCTGAAATTTGTTGGTATCCCTGCTTCTTTCAGAGAGAGTTCGTGTTCCTAAATAGTAAAATGGATAATGTAAATCCACCTACCAGATGCCTGCCATAAAGGTGGGTGCTTGAAAGAGCTTTAAGTGCATTTTGTGCCTCTTGCTGTGTAACGTATTCCACAAAAGCAAAACCCCTATGACTTCCAAACTTCATTGGCAACCTTAAGCTCTTAATCTGCATAGATGTAAAACATCAAATGGTATGAATTAGCAGGAAGTAGTGCATAATTAGAAAATCACATAAAAGTGAAAAAAAAAAAATTAGAATTTAAAGTAAAATGATAAACTGAAGTGTCCAAAAAGAAAAGGGCACACGCTGGGTTAGGATTATAAATTGCACAGGCAGCTTATGGCATAATTTTTTTCTAACCAAAAATATCCAGTTGGCTGTATCGACTGCAGGTTGATATGCTTCTGTAGAATCCTTAGCTTTCGTTTCAAACAATGCATGCATTCAATAATATTTTGTGCAAGTGAAAAGACTAATTGCTTACTTAAAATGTCTTGTAAAATATTACTTCTCATAGCACATACCTGGCCGAATGGGCTGAACAACTGTCTCAATTCCTTCTCTGTTGCCTCAAAAGCCACATTCCTTACAAGTAATTTTGTTGAGCTTTTGTCCTTCTCAACTGTTTTTGGTAATTGTCTGTCCTTGGCATGACAGAGTTGTAAAATAAGTGCATGCCCATCCAAAACAGTCCCCTAAAGAAGGAAAAATATCAGCTAGAGTTAGGATCCTGAGATAGTTATCACATGCATATTGCATACATAGCTTGATGTAATATGAAGAAACCTGTAAATCTCTGCAAACATTCGTAGCAGTCTCCACAGAATCAAATTCAAGAAATCCAAATCCCATAGAAACCTGTTTTCCATTTTTCAAATGCTTCTTCACCTGTTCGGAACATCAGCAAGCAAATTATCATAAGGAGCCGACCATAATAAAGTGAGAAGTTCTACAAACTTGGACAAATACCTTGGCACTCAAAATTCTTCCTTCTTTCACGTGTTCACTAAAATGATTCTTCAAACTCTCGTCTGATGTCCTAAAGTTGAGGTTCTTGACAAATAGAGACCGTGCCTGAAGCAGATAGATTAATCAATAATACAATACTTGACCGAGCAGAACAAATAAGCAGTGGTGGCAGCCAAGAATTTCATATTAAATATGATCTCCATTATTTATATGACATTCTTTTACAGCAGCATTGTATGAGAAAACAATTACATGTTTCTTCTGATAAAGTAGGCTATGTATTTTGTGAATTCTTGTTAAAATCACATCATTGCTCAGTTGAATAATACACATTTGTATACAATCACAATTATATGGAAAGAAGCAGCAGCAGCCTTACCCCACTAAGTGAGGTTGACTACATGGATCGCATGATGTCACTATGCTCTGTCTAAGACTAATTCTTCTGATAAGCCATTAAGTCAGAGATCTCAATTAACGACTTCTTTAAGTGTCCTTCTTGGTCTCCCTCTACCTCACTTCACAGGTTAAAAGACTACCTACTCACCCCTCCTTATAGGCATCTACACTAGCCTTGTTTGCACACAATCAATCCATCTTAAACAATTTTATTCTATTTCATCCTCAATAGACGCTACGCCAACTTGTCCTCTCATATGGAAAGCAACACTAGTGAAAAAAATCATCTCCTGCTCTCTAAGGAATTTCTTTTGGGGGGAAAAAAAATCTGCTACTCTGCTAGGAACATAGTCACAACTTTTCAAAGAATCAGACTTCGGCATTCCCTTGGACAGAAGGGAGCTGAAAATGTTCCAGTGGCTAACAGTGAAAAAAGTCATTAAAGATGACTCGTTTAGTGCCCACAAGATACACAAGTTTAAGAGAGTAGCAACTTCTTCATAGTACCACATTAGATGCAGTGGTTCAACGAAAAAGGAAAGACAGATGATGTTAAATTATCCTAAGCCACACCAAGTATTTGAGATGGCACAAATCAAGCAGGCAACAAATAAAGTTGTGCAGACCAGAGCGGAGAGAGAGAAATGAATCTGGTTTGCACGCCTTCAAAGACAACTTTTCATCAACCAAGTATTTGCTTGGCATAGGCTAAATCTTCTCCATCCTGCTTTATTCTCATTTGACAATAAAAAATTACATAGCACTTCAAATTATTATCATTATAGAGAAAATAGCAACTTTTACGTTAATTATAATATAAAAAATGTCATCAAATATCAAATTGAATACAGTTTCTAGGAAAATATACTTGGTCATATAATTCACACTTTCCCTGAGTATCCCGTTCGAAGATCATGAGAGGTGGGGATTCTAAGGTAGTGCAATAGGAGCGTCAAAGTTTTAGAAGGGCAACTGAGCGGCCACGTGACAAGCACATGGGCTATTAGTAGAACCCTAAAGTTAAAAAAAAAATACAATTTAAAAATTCTTCTCCCACAAATAAAAACCCCATTTTCTCTAAACATATACCAGTTTTCTGGAATCTACATATACTCGAAAGGAAAAAAGATCTAAGAGTATTCTTCACTTCACATCAGGGGATACAGTAAGTTGCTAAAGTAGCGAGTTTGCAGTGAACAAAACAGAACAGCTAAATGGTTCTACCACACGCAGAGAAAATATTTAACAAGACAGCACACCAGACAGGAACAGAAAATTACAGGGAAGAGAAACCCAATATGACAAACCTCAACTCTGTCTTGATCGATGTCCATATCTGATACTCCCTCCAGATGCTGTTCCAATATCAGCCGTTTGGCCTCATTTTCACCAATTGCGCCACTCTTTTCATTGTTCTCAGATGTTACACTTTGGCTAAGTACATTGGAAGGAGCCCATTCCAAGTACAATGGTGCATCCCTACAATGAATTCAATATTAATCAATGGGATAGATATTCTTCAATGAATCATGATGGAAGAAGCTTTGGTAGAGCCAGTACAGTTAGCATGAAAATCAGAGATCATATTCACGCATAAGATGAAACCCATAACAGCTTAAAATAGAAAGAGGCTCATAGTGAGTCAGTAAGTCTAGTGCAGCTCCTGGACCACATATGCATGCACCCACAATACTCAAGTAATAGAAAGTTAAGCTTCTCAGCGTTTAGTCCACTGAAAAATCACATAATTAAACCCCAGAAGTGCAATATTTTTTAGCTTCGATGTATATATAACATTACATTCAGGCCAAAGAATGTACATATAACATTATATAAAAGGAAAAAAAAAAAGTATAATGGCCATTTTAATGGATCTTTGAAATTTTATGAATGCAAATATTATGCAGATTGCAGAGCATCATGTTCATTGTAGTCTTCTCTGTTTGAATTGCTGAGTTTGACTTCCCTATGAATGAAATGCTCTATGAAGCTGGAAGTTGGCAACAAAGCTAGGCTCTATGAATCCCTTGTACCCATTACATGACAAGTGCAAAATATATATAACCTTCATATTAAACTAACAGTCTTTCAGACATATCATTTATAATAGATTCAAGCAACTAGATACAAGAGACCTCTGTTGCTGGCTTGCTAGAATCCATCACTCTCCATACTTTGCTATTAGACCAACTAACAAATCAAAGGGATCAAGAAGAAGCAAAATCAGTTGGACAACCAGTCGAGATACCCTTCAAGGAATTGATTAAGATGAACTACTGGCAAAGTATCTAGAGTAAATTACACAATTCTCCTAAGTTCTACTCACAAATTACAAGGAACTTCCCTTCATTGATGAACCCCATATATTAGTCCCGCTATAACGGTATTCTTTTAAAAGATTCTAGAATGCTTTTATTCAAAATATTTCGTAACATAACATACAACTACCCATCTGTCCCATCAGCCAAAATCCTAACCACTTCCAATGAAGAACAAGGGAAAAGCTCTGGTAGTGTCTACCATTATGATCTTCCTGGTGATAATGCTACAAGGGAAGAAAGCAAGTCTGGCTCAGCAGCAACCACAAAACTCCAGTGGGGCAGCCCCTGGACATCAGGAAGAAATCTGACACCATGCAAATCATTTGCAACTCCACGGTGTCCTTTTCACCTCTCCCCTCACAAAAGCCAAAACAATAATGCAAGATTCTCTCAACTTCACTTTTATTGATCTCATCTGAAGCCGCAATATCAACCAAGAAATCTAAAATATCAGTGTAGGTATGGGAGCAGCAAAGACATGATCAAACCCACTGTGGGCCATACAGGTAGAGGGGGTGTTCTTGAGGCAAAGAAGGGCGTAGAAGAAGCAATGAGGAAGCTTCAACATGGAAACAGAAGGGGGTGGTGCAATTTCTGCTGTGTCTACAAAGACAGAGATCAGCAAGAAGGAACAGCAAGCACGATGGCTATCACTGGTTTTTGAAATCTCCTACCTCCATGATCTCCTTATTGCTGTTTTTGAAGGTGGTAGTGGAAAGGAGGATGATCAGATGAACAAGGATTGCGATTATACACTTTGGATATGATCTGAGGGTGATAGGCTCCAGTGATGAACAATTAATGGTGATTAGCTTTGATGACAACGACAACAACGTGTGCTCCTTGCTTTTTAAGAATATGGTCAGAGGGTGAGCCAGATTTTGAGGAACTCACAGAAGTGTTCTGTAGATTAGGGAACTTACTCTGCAGAAGTGTCTGGGTTTTGCTAAGTGATGGGTTATTTGGTCAAACCAAATTAGGCGTCTAATAGCTACAAACTAAGGCCGGACCAAAAATATAACTTTGGAAATGTAGAGGAAGTTAGCGCAGCTCAACTTTCAGTCCGAGGAGAGGTCAAACTAGATTTTGAAAATAGAGGAAAATACATGTAATTTTAGCAAAACTCACAGGTCCACATAATTTATTCCTAAGAAAGCCAACAAAATAACTCAATTCAGTTAGCATTTGGATGTCACACCAATTAGTCTGGGGCAGTAATGATGTTCACAGTAAAAGGGCCGACCACATACAATGGACTGTCATGTTGGGAAAGTTGCATGTAAAAATAGGAAGTGATAACAGAAAACTACTTATGAGATAAACATCTGAACACTAAGAAATAAAGAGCATTGTGCTTTTATATATGCACTGCCGAAGGCTCTTCTTGCTAGAAGAGAAATAAAATCTTACTTGAAACGCTTGTAAGCTAAACCTCTAAAAGCTGCTCGAGCTTCAGCTGGTTCGAGGTAGACAATCTGAAATATTAACTCCAAATAATTAAAAGCTTTACAAAGATAGGAATATCAACTTTCCAAAGACCCAAGAACTAGAGGAAAAAAATTCATGAAGACCATGCAAGAAACAAATTGGCAAAGTATATTTGAAGATCCCAAAAATGACGTAGATTCATTCATTTACAGCTGGTAGAGCAATGCTAAGCATCACTGGATCTAGGGACCTATGAGTAAGAGATTGAAATGTTTTTTTCATAAATAAGAAACAGTGTGACCTTTGTCTACAAAGTACGAAATAAGGTATTAAAATAAAATCAAATTGTAATGACATCATTAAATCTGAAAAAACGGACAAGAAAGTATCAGAATACCAAGGCCAATGTCTTTGTTGGAGGGAGAATTATTTTGTCTAAATTCCCAAATTTCCCAAACATCTTGGCTAGTTCATTTTCTGAGGAACCATATGGCAAGTTCTTCACTAAAAGCACATGGTTGCTTCTTTTAACACCAACTTTTTTGCCATTGGCGAATTCCTCCAAAGACTCCACATTCACGCCAGCATTTTTAAGGGCCTTTTTAGTCTCTGCAATCACTTGAGTTTCTCCCAAAGCAATACGCACAGCAAGGTCATTAGCTTCTTGGTCAAGCAAATCACTTTTACTTACACCATATTTACGAGCAATGTTTTCAACAACCTATAACCAAGTAGTTAAGATGTATAAGACGTCTAACCAGAGAGAAAGAAAGAATGGCCAATTGCATTTGCAGAGTAAAATCAACAACAAAAACACAAGAATATTAATGTCAGAAGAAGGCATTTGTTAATTGCTGTGTCTTTAAAGGGAAAATAAAAGAAAAAGGTCAGGGCTATTAGAACTTCTATCACAAAAAAGCATATGATTGCAAGCTAAAAATAAGAAATTTCTTCTCCATCCACATAAATCCTTTCCTAAAACGAATGGCGCTTGATAATATCTTTGAATATAAAAAGATGAGATGGTATAATTAGGGTGAAAATAGCCAATGAGATGATTAAAACATATTTGATATCAAACAAAAAGAAAAGGAAAATACTAAACGTGATAAACTCATCCTTGACTCCACCACAAAGGCCAAATTATTAGAACCATCGGTTGCACATTATTAAGTTTCAACCAACATACAGTATCAGGGCGCATGAATAGACTATTCCATGCTCTGGTATCTCCACTGGCTTCAGCTGCTTTCCTCTCCTCCTCTCTCTGTTTCTTAAAAGTTCTAGAGCTTTGGTCCATTGATGTATTCTTTCTACAGCATGGAAAAGTATTGTTATAAATAATGCAAATAAAACACCTGATCTTTGCATGTAAAATATGAAAAAAAAAAAATTGTATATTGCATACTCCTTGCTGTCTGAAGGTCTTTGCACGGCTGGCAAAACATGCAGTAATCTTCCTTGGAAAATTGAATTGTCCAACTCTTTTAGTGCCCTGATAATCAAATATCTTAACATTAAATAAAGCATTGGCAAAAGAAATATATTAATACATGCCAGTTTTAACCTGCATAACCTGAAAATAATTTAACAAGAAAAAGAAATGAGCGTTTTATATTTTGAGTCATACGAAGCAATGGTAATTGATAGCAGCTGGATGACAACTGCTGATGCTGTATTTACACCTCAGTGGGTGATGCCAATGTACCTTTAATAGTTTGAAGAAAACATTTTAAGTTACAAGAAGCCTTCATGTCATTGCGACAATTAGACTACTTAACCTAAATATAGAGTTTTTCCTCTCCAACTCAAAAGCCGACCCTAGAATCCAGATTTCAAGATTATTAGGCACACCATTCATTTGATCATTAAAATTAAAAATCCATGAAATTCCAAAACCATGTCCCCTCACTGCACCTGTATTTTACAGGGAGGGTATCATTAGAAGTCCACCAAAAATAATACACAAGGATCCACTGAAAACTTACGCCACAGAATACAGATGAAATACCTAATTTACTTCAATAGTATGACAATTGTTAAATTCAAAAACTATCAAGGCTGTCAGAAACGTTATGGAATCCCCACCCCTTTTATGCATATTTTTCTTTTTGTGCGCACATAACCACCAAAAAAAAAAAAAAAGGATAAGTTATGACTGTTTGAAACTCAATGATTCCTTTCAATAGGAGCACAGGGAATTTGATTGAAAAGGAACCCTACAACATTTTTGCTCAGAAAGAAGCTAAAAGAATAAGAATTCCACATTCATGACAAAATTTAGAAATGAATGTGAGCCGATTAATTTTTAAGAAACCATGTGTACCTGGCTGCAAATTCTGGAAATGTGTAAAGAATATATGCTATTCCTTTGGACCTTTTTGTATCTTTATCAACAACCAGATGAACCTGTGAGACAGTGCCGAAATTGCTGAAGTGTTCTTCAAGTTCCTCCTCGCTGCGGCACAAAAAATATATATATATAATGCGAAAAAGCCAACTTGGAATTGTATGAAAGAAGTGACATTCACTTCCAGAGGTTCCAAACACTTACAATCATCCCCATTTTCCTCCAAATTTCAGTTTATTTTGGAAATCTCTATTCTATTGGTGTAACTAGACTTGTTATCTTGTACATGGCAAAGAGTCTGAGATTCGTCACGCCATTCGTAGCTTATGAATGGTGACTTCCAACAAATTTTACAGCCAACGTGTTTTTCCAAATACAAATCCACTAGCCTAATTCAATGCTAGACAAATCACCACCCGAAGTTAATGCTTTTGAAAACATTATAATAAGGTCTGTGGGTCTGAGACTAGTCAAGGTTTTAGTATACGCTGAAATTGAAACTAAAGGAATGACTGCACGCCTCAAAATCTTAGAAAAGGGGAATGCAATTCATTGTACATGATAATAACGTCAAAATTGAATAACAAAAGCACAGAAAATTATAGAGTCACGTATTTTATTGGTCCAGTTGTGAAATTCAATCTCTCTTTAGACAATAGTTAAATTGATAAACACAAAAAATAAACATTGTAACACCAATACACATGCATAAAAGCAAGAAATAAGAAAAAGTATTTAAATAAGAAGGATTACGTGGCTGTATATGGCAGATTACGGACAAACAGTCGACAAGACTCAAAAACTCCTTTCTCATTTTCCAGACATGATGAAGAGACCCCTTGCTCAGGTATTTCATCACCAGAAGAATTAGAAGGGCCTCTCACTTCAACCTTTTCATGGTCACTGTCCTCATTACAGATATCTTCTTGGCCTGACAGGTCTATGTTTTGAGCATCACCTCTTCCAGTTCCTTTCAAAGATTGATCATCAAAATTTTCTTCATCTTCATCACCATGACTATCATTGTCTTCTTTGCCGTCATCATCATTGCTCACAGAGGCATTGTTTTCTTCATCATCACTATTTTCAGAATCAGACCACTCCTTTGCCACCCGACTCTTGAAATATTCCATATCTGAAATGGCATCATCATGGACAAGATTATTTGGTTTCTCAGATTCATGACTATCTGAAGAGCCATCATCTAAAGAGCCATCTGAGGATCCATCATCTGATGAGTCACTTTGAACTAACTCATCATGCTTTGGAATTGAAGGATCCTTGCTTTTATTCTCAGCTATTTTTTGCTTCTCACTAACATTCTCCAACACTGATGAAGTATCGTTTGCCCACAATTTTGTCTTTGCCCGAGGCTGCATAACCTGAAGGAATTCTTGAAGTTGGGGATCATCAATGTCAGTGCTCTCCCTCAAATTCTCTCCACCTCTCTGTGCCTTAACACTACTTCTATTTTCAGCATCTTTCTTCCCACCTTGGATCACTTTTTCCCCTTTCTTCAATGAATGTCGACTCCATGGACGAGGCATATCTGGATCACCAACTTTTCGAGCCACCTAACACGGATAAAGTGAGTCATAATTCGCTATCCTAATTGAGCACTGGGGAAGCATGGTGCATGACTGCATGTCATCAAGTGACACTGCTTTTGCCTGCAACTATACAAGCCAGCAAAACCATCGTATGCAATTCCATTTCTTTCCCTTGATAATACAAGAAGAACCACAGAAATGCAATTTACTTCTCAATTCGAATGAGTGCTTTGCTCCATTGTGTGTTTTGAAGATATAGAGCCCATTTAGGTATGCTTCTTAGAGGGAAAAGAACTTTTCAATCGTTGTCAAAAGTACTTTTGTTGTCAAAGGATATGGATAAACTTTTTTTTTTTTTTGTCTAATAGGATATCGATGAACTTTAATAAAACAGAAAAAACCACTTAAAAGACCAACTATAGCTCTTTGCCAAAGCTCAGAATTTGGGCTTCCAAAAAAAATCTGTGGCAAAAGCTATAATTGTAAAAGCACTTTTTGGTTACCATATCGCCAACAACAACCACAACCACAAGCATTTTTTTTTTTTACCATATCGCCAAAAGTTCCAAAAAAAAAATTGCTTTTCACAGAAGTACTATAATAAAACCCCTTAGTGTAAAAAGTACTTATGTCTGTACTATGAGCACTGCACTTCCCTCAGAAGTTTAGGTGGTAAATTACCAAGTTATCTTTCGCAACAAACCTGCAAGTATGCTACTTCTATCTTTAAAAATTTAAAAAAAAAAAAAAAAAAAAAGGGTCGATGACACAGATAAATAAAAATTATAAAGTCAATGATATAAAATTTTATTATTTTGCAAACTTTTACAGCATAAAGTTTATTTTGGAAGTTAGAAATATTTTTTATTCCAGTAGAAGAAAATCAAGTAGATTAACAGTTGCCTACTATAACATAAAAGAAATAAGTCTGTACATGAAACTAGGACAGCAAAACTCACCTCACAAGTGATTCTACAGGTGTCAAGGTAGGATCTATTGAAATATTTTATAGCTTCCTTGGCTTCGTCCTCTGTACGAAACCCAATAAAACAAAACTGCCGACTCTTACCATCTCTGATAAGGTGAAAAAAACAAATGTTGTTAAAGGCAATATTAACATTTTAAATATACCAATATTAAAAAATGAAGTCCAAGGTTTTAAGACGATACTTGGTGCGCATAAGCTTTACATCTGTTATTTCTCCTTTCTGTGAAAATAAGTCCCGTAGACGATCCTCTGCAACATATTTTGGTAGATTCTTAACACATATCCTAGACCTGCAAACAACCTCATAGCTTAAGCAAGTAATTCCTTTTAAAGCAAAGTAAAAATTATGGCATAAATTCTACTGACTACAGTGTACTTCTTTAAATGACAGAAGAATTTTACTGGGACAGGAACGGTACAGAACCAAGGAAAAGGAATTCCTCGTACATTAACAGTCAAATTTATAAAGAAGACAGAATTAGCCCAAGAAACTATCCAATCTTTCTACATATTTAGAATAAAATTTTCTCTTAAGGAATGCAGGATCAGCATTCTAAGTATACTTGACTTTACCCCATAAGAAAATTCAAAGAAAGACAGTGTGTAAACAAGCACAAAAGCAAAGGAAACAAACTTCAAATTCTTCATTAGGCTTGGGCAAAGTAGGAGCATGCCACAGGACAATGATTTCCATCATCAAAAAACAAGAACATCAACAAATCTACCTAATGGGCTCAACTTTTTCAGGCCAGGTTTACTCAGGGAGGAGACCCAACAATGTCGTGATACTAAGTACACAAAGAAATATGTTGGAAGGAAGCCTGCCAAGGGCCCAATGAATGCTACCAGTACTAGTGAGCCTAGTAGAGATGCTGAGTTGGCTGTCTGAGGCCATAAGGGCAGAGTAGAATGATTTATTGGGTTTCATGCAGGAAAACATAAAGGAAGAAACTGTTTTGGGCATGGAGAGGACTTGAACTCTCAAAAGTCAGAGGAGTCTTACTTTTACTTATATTTTTCTTAGCTGTTTGACTGGTCTGTTTCAGCTTAGTAATAGGATTAGTTGATTTTGCCATTGTTTTAATCATTTTACCCACTTGGAAGAGGTGTAACTAAATCCTATTGCCTTAATCATACTATTCTAAGAATCAGTCCCACCACTATCGTTAAGATTTCAAGAAAAATGGCAATGCCGTTACCATGATAGGTAAGGAAATCAGAGATTGAAGCACAATGGAGGGAAGGGGGAAAGTCTCGACATCAGTATGTCATTTTGTCATTCCTCTCATAATGGAAAATTCATATAAGTCACAATGAAAAAGAACAAGCTTTGACATCCCTGGGTAGTTAGCATTAGCAGTTCAAATGTTAGATGTTAAGACAACATAAATCATTTCTAACTTACATATTTTAATATTCTTTCCCCTGGAACTGATATTACTTCTTTGTATTGTGCTTCAGGCTGATAATTCCACTTTGCTCCTGTGAGTAGAAAAGGCAAAGTAGGAATTACTAAAACATGGTGTAAAGAATATTCAATGTTGTCAACAGAGACTATAAAGGCACACTGCTGGAAATGATAACCAGGTTGTTGATTGTTGTGTAAAAAGTAATAGCAAGGAAAATATGCAAGCAAATATAAAAAAGAAAAAAGCATAAAACTCATCATGGATTCATGAGAATGTGTCATGTCAGTCTATATGAACCAATACAGTAAATTTAAAAGGGGAAAATACGTTTACCCCCAAAACTAGAGCTCACTAACAAATTTAATACATTAAATTTAGCATGGGACGTTCTTCTGCGATCTTTTCAAAGTAATAATAATATATGGTCGTCTTCTTTGTTTTGAAGTTGATGTAAAGGCTTTAATTAGCCCTTAATTATGAGCGGCAACATGTATTTTCTCCAAGTCTCCAACTTATAATGAAAATAAAGAGATTGGTTATGGTGGATGCTGCAAACAGTACCAAATAAAGAACCATGAATCTCCAACCATGCTTTGATAGTGAACATGCAAAACAGACAATGAACATGTATCAAATAAATCACTCGACGAACGAAACACTAGAAGAAAATCATAGCGTAAGACAGGCTTTTCATACAAACCCCGTCGCTCAAAGGTCACAAATTATCCAAAGTCAGGTGGGCATGATCTTAAAGCAGCAAATCATTTTGAACACAAATACATAGCTCCAGAATGCACAATAGAGCACAAAATGGAAACAACATAAGGACGCAATCTATGAGAGAAAACAAATATGATCAGCTTCTGAACATAATCAATCACACGGAAAGCAATGGATTTCAAATGAAGGAAGACAGTGTAGAAAGTAAGACAGCTGGGTGTACCCGACGAACGGCTAGAAATTTCTTGCTGCTCCTCCGTTCTAGGTAGATGACGGTCGACACAAAGCGACTGGGGTTTAGACCGACGATGGCAAGGACTGAGATTGACGGCGGTGACTGCTAGGAAGAAGTGCTTGGCTGCCGATATCGCGATTCCGCGCCTATTTGGTAAATTAACACGCACAGCCCTGCAAAATAATTTGATGCGAAATGGAGACTTCAAGTTAAAAAATAAAAATAAAAATAGGAAAATAAATTAGGGAAAATGGCATTAAGGTCCCACACAAGCATAAATGCAGCAAAAAAGTCTCCTGAAAATCTGAAATCTCATAATGTTTCTGAAGTCCTAAAGGAACTTGTGTGCAATTTTCAGAATCATCAAATGACACTCTTGCCCTAACTATCCTCTTGTCCTAACTATCAAAAACAAAGACAGTGGGTGAGGATTTTCCTGCACAATATGGTTGAGAGAGAAGACGTTGGGAAAGAGGAAAGGAACCATTGATGATGAAGTATCTTCTCCATTACTATTAGTGAACTCCAAAGAGCTTCTATGTGAATGTCCACAAATCTTCAGGTGTGGAACTTTCTTTCCTCTCTTCTCTTACCTTTCTTGACAGATTGTGCATTTGTTTGGAAATGGGAAATCAAAAAATCGTTTTTGTCTTTGGTGCTGCAAAGCTTTTGTTTTTGATCTAAGATTCACAAGTTAATCAATAGAGATGCTGTGTTTTTTGTTAGTGTGTGTTGGTGATTTAAGTTGGGTGTGTAGGATGATCATGGGTGCTCTGTTTTTGGGTTGTTTGTGGGTGGTTTTGCTCTGTTCTGACGTTAGTTTAGTGGCAAAGGAAGAAGAAGATGAAGGTTAGTGTGGGTAGAAACCCTTAGCACGAAATGGGATATTGTGTTGTCAATCAGGCCGCGATAGTTGTCAATGTGTGCCGCGACACTTGTCAGTATAGCTCCTTGACTTGTCAATAACAGTTGCGTGATTCTTGATGCAGGTTTAAATTACTGATGGCGAGTACATCTGTAAAGTATCTATTTTGCTTTGTTCACATAGGGAGAAAATTTATAAATGATGGAGAAAATGATATGAGATATGTGGGAGATAGTGTGAGAACAACAAATGTAAAGGAGAGCACAAGTTATGAAGCATTGAAGGAGATAATATCATCAATTGCTGGAAAAGAAAGCAACTTTTTTTTTGTTGAAATTCTCAGTTCTATTTGATAAAAAACTTTTATGGAGTTGGTAGATGATGATTGGGTAGAACATTTGATAAAGTTCAATGAAGAAAGTAGTCATGTGATGGAAATAAGGACCACACAGAAACAACAAGGGATAATACAATAGAGGAACAAGATGTGTAAGTTTAGTTTAACAAAACTATTATTGTCATTTCTTGGTAGGGGTGTTCATAATTGACCCGTCCCGGTTGACCCGTCCCGGTCCCGGTCTTATTGGAACGGGACAGATCCGTCCCGAAATTTTTTGGAACGGGACATATCGGGACGGGACAGAAATATGTTCGGGACGGGACGGGACACGGGACGGGGTCATCCCGTCCCGGTCCCGTCCCGGTATGTATATTTTTTTTTAATTCTTATATTTTATTTATATTATCAGTTTCTATTAATATTATTATATGTTAAAATGTAAAAACTAAAAAATAAAAAGAAACAAATACGAAGCGGAAGACGGAAGCCCTCAGCAGTAGTAAGGCCTGTCTGAACTTGAATCTCTGATTGTCTCTAGCGGCGCGCCTCTCTCGGTCTCTCCAATCTCCAGTTTTCAATTTTCACTTTTTCACTTCCATCTTCCATTCCCTTCAGATTTTAGACAACGACAGCCGACGGAGCAGTGAAGCGTGGCTGGTCGCAGTCTCACGAGTCGCCTCTCAATCTCCGCTCTCGGCTATTCTGTCATCTGCGAAGTGCGAAGGAGGCCGTCGCCGTCGCCGTCGGAGAGCAGTGCTCACTGCTCAGTGCTTACAGCTTACTCACTCTGCCTCTCTCGTCTCGGCTTCAGCTCTTCACTCACGGAGTCACGGTCCCACTCTCCAATTCTAGCCTCCATTGAAGTCGCAAGCTTCGTAGCTTCTCTCCAGTCCAGTCGGCCAGTCCATCGTCGGCGTCGGTCTTTGCTGTAGAGTGTAGATTGCAGACGCCAGACGGACCTCATCTCATCTCCAACCTCAATTTCTGCTTTCTCTGTTTCTCGTGAGTTTTCACTTTTCACCGTGTTTCTTGATTTTGGGGTCTTTAAAAATCCCTTTTAATCTTGTTGATTTCATCTTAATATCCAGCGACCAGCATGATATTTTGCCTCTTTGTAATTTTGTATGAATATGATGGACTATGGATTGGCCGATTGGGATCTGTCTGATTTGCCTCATTCTTGGTTGTTGAATTCTTTTATAATTTGTTTTGTGAATTGGACCCAATCTGATTTGCCTCATTCTTGGTTGTTGAATTCTTTTATAATTTGTTCTGTGAATTAGACTAGTTCTGTGAATTTTCTTGGTTGTTGAATTCTTTTATAATTTGTACGTATCATTCTCTGGTTGATGGTTTGTGAAGTAGTAATATATATAATTGTAGATTCAGTTCAGTGTTTGGTTCTATTAAAACTGTACGAAAATTTTACTATCTATTCTTGAAAGCTAATTGAGCCTTTATGATCATTTTGAAGAACTTCTCTTTGTGAAAAAACATGAACTCTGTCACAAACACCACTGAAGGAAACACTGGAAACACTCAAACAACTGAAGAAAATACTCAAACACAGTCACAAACTACTGAAAGAGCTTCAGGACAAGCAGATAATGAAGATCAAATTACTACATCACAAGGTGAAGAAGAGGGGGATGAATCAAATGTTGATGGATCAAGAAAGAGAAAAAAATCTTTAGCTTGGTTACATTTTGAGAAATTGCCTCCAGAGCAGTGGAAAAATGGAGAACCAAGGGCAAAGTGCAAGTATTGCCCAACAACAATTGCCTGCCACCCTACCACACACGGGACAGGTGGACTTGTTAAACATTTACAGAGGTGTCCTAGAAATCCCCACAGGGCTAACAAGCTAAAGCAATGATGTTCTCAACAGGGGCTAGTGGTAAAAATTTGACTCATCATGTCTTTAGGCAAGACTTTTGCAGGAGAGCTCTAGTCAAATTTTTAATATTGGAAGAACAGCCTTTTCGAATAGTGGAGGGTGAAGGTTTTAAAGAGCTGTTAAGGGCACTAGAACCTCGTTTTCAAATTCCCTCAAGAGCAACAGTAACTAGGGATTGTTTGAAGCTATATTATGAAGAAGCAAGAAGGTTGAAAAGGTATTTTAAAACTTTAAATGCTCGTGTTTCTCTTACCACTGATACATGGACTTCCAATCAGAATACCAACTATATGTGTCTAACTGCTCACTGGATTGATGATCATTGGGCTTACCAGAGGCGAATCTTGAATTTTTGTGTGGTTGAAAACCATAAAGGCGATACTATTGCAGCAGAGATTGAGAGATGCTTGTTATTCTGGGGCATTGATAAGTTGTTTACTATAACAGTGGATAATGCTTCTTCAAATGACATTGCAATATCAACTTTGAAAGATGTGTTGAAACATTGGAATGGTCTAGTTTGCAATGGGGAGTTCTTACACTTGCGTTGTTGTGCACATATTCTGAATCTTATTGTTTCTGATGGTGTAAAGGAGATGCATAGGTGTATTGAAGCAATTCGGAATGCCATTAAATATGTAAGATCCTCACCTGCAAGGTTTCGTAAGTTTAAGGATCTAGTGGAAAAAATGAAAATTGATTCGAAGAGTCTATTAAGCATGGATTGCCTAACAAGGTGGAATTCAACCTACATGATGCTGGAAAATGCTATTAAATTTAGTAGTGTTTTTGAAAGAATGGCAAAAGAAGATAGGGATTACACAAACCACTTCTTGGAGAAGAATTTAATTGGTCCTCCTGATGCATATGATTTGAGACAAGCTAAAGTTTTCTGTAGCTTCTTGCAAGAGTTTCATGACATCACATTGCAATTTTCTGGATCAACTACTGTCACCTCAAATATATGCTTTCAAAATATAGTTGATGTGTTTACTATTCTAAATGAACATGTAGATGATCCTAATTCTTTGCTATGTGAGATGGCTATGAGGATGAAGATTAAGTATGATAAGTATTGGGGTGACTTGCAAACTCTTAATCCTCTTTTGGTGATAGCAGTGGTACTTGACCCCAGGTATAAAATGAAATACCTCACTTTTGCCGTTGAGGAGATGTTTCAAAGCCAAGCACAACGTGAACACATGTTAAAAATAGTCTCAACCGTCTTGTATCAGTTGTATGATTGTTATTCGGGTGGGCTTGACACATCTCAGTTTCATATGCAAATTCAAGGACAAAGGAATAGACAAGCTGTAAGTGAAACTACTAGTGCATCTACTTGTGCTTCAGAACAATCAGGCTCAACTATAACTTCTGTGCATCGTAAGCGATCAGCTCGAAGGTTTGTTGCTCGATTTGAGACTGAGACTCAATCAGATAAGTATGCAGAGGTGGAGAAGTATTTGCAAGCTGAGTTAGTTGAAGCACATGAGCTTGACTTTGATATTTTGGCCTGGTGGAACCTTAATGCTATGAAGTACAAAGTCCTTTCAATGATTGCACGTGATGTTTTAGCCATGCCCGTGTCTACCGTGTCTTCAGAATCTGCATTTAGCACGGGGGGTCGTGTGATTGATGACTTCAGGAGTTCTTTATCCTCAAAAATGGTTGAGGCATTAATTTGTACACAGAATTGGCTATCTCCATCAAGAGTGAAGCTGAAAGGACTAGACATTGATGACTTCAATGAAACTGAGATTGCGGCACATGGTAATATCTATCTTTTAGTAGCATTTGATTGAAGCCAAATTTTTTTTAACATTGGCTATCTCCTTTCAATGATTGCATTTGATGATATTAATTTGTATATACGGCCATGATATGAATATATAATATCTATATATGATGAATGCTAGAACCTTTTCATTTATTATACGCCTCACTTTATTTATATATATTCTCTTGCAACTAAGCATAGACTTTGGAAAATGGATTGAAATTGTGGATTAAAATGAATCATATTCTGTGCGTCACTTGATTTT